GTTATGAGTTGATTTAATTCCTTTTATTTTTAGTCACTAGACGGTACGTTATGTCAGCTATGCGCTTGGTGTATGATCCAGGCAGAGGCCGAAGAGCATGATTGCTTCAGATCATATTCTTGCTCACCGCTAAATGAAGCACTCAAGTGGAACAAAAGCGCAAAGAAGGCAACTATGGAGAGAGCAGCGACACATTGCGCGAGCCGTGGTGCGGTGATGGTGACGAGCTACTCAACAGGAGAAAAGGAACGAAGGCACAACCGATCGGCATCCAGAAATCCATCAGGCCCAGTATATGATAGAGAAGAAACAGTATTATCCCTATTTTGTAGCATCTAAGCAGAAGATGCTTATATATCCTGAACAAAATGTGTGTGACAAAGTTACCAACAATTCTAATCCTGTGTCGTAGACAATTTTCTAGTATACTATTTCAGTGTTAACTGGGGTCATTGAATGATATTACGATTTCACTCAGCCCACAGTAATATATGTATAGTATTCTACTATTTTATATGTACTTTTTGATTCTATTTTATTACTCCATCATCTGATATTCCAATATCATCATCATCCGCTTCTAATGCATTGAATGATTTTTCACATAGATGCTAGTCACCCGGTATTGAAGTGAGGTTGCGACTACAGCTTTTTGACGCTCATCATCATTACACGTATTGTTGATTTTCTTCTTTCTTGCGTTTGGTGGACTTTAAAGTTTTTACTTTTCTAATACAAATTATCTCTAATCGAGTCTATTACTTGCTTGACGCTGAGCTCTATCCGATGAATAAGTTTCTAATCGTAAAGTATGGACTCGCGACTAAAGTTATAGTCACAAGGAGTATCATATTCAAAATCACGCACTGTCGGCTGCAGGCTTGTCTTCAAGATGCCGCAGCGACCCCTTCACGCGCGTACGTAATCCGCTCGCGAGCCGGACACCCCGCTAACCCGATTATCAGTCTGCAATCGCTCTTCGGTGACACACAAGTTTCCATTCCCCTCTTATGGCGCATACTTTTGGTGACTGTGACCCTAATCAGCTTTGCGCGAACCGCACATGACGCTTAGATTACCATGCTTTCCTTGAACTGTGTCTGTTGTATTAACTCCAGCGATTTTTTATATGTGTAGCTTATATATGTTTTTATATATTATACCTGAGGAATATAATAATCTTGCTCTCATATGTCTCAAGTAAGCAGAAGTAATGATATGGAACAGTGTGACTTATGCCTAAGTAATACAGAGACTCACAGTGAGATAATACCATTATCTCCCTTTACTCTTCGAATGAACGGCAGTAAGCAGTTGTCGATGTAGATGCCTACGTAATTACCAACTGGCTCAAACGATAGTTTTTTTTTCATGAAATTGTCGGCTGTATCCATATATTTTTGAGTTTTCATATAACTATCCAATTTCACACCGAGGTCGGGATGATATCTATTACTATCTAATGAGCAAAGGCCATATGAAGCTTTCAATATTATCTTCTACAGCTGAGTTTATATATATGTCGTTATCACCATCTATACGTATGCGCATCATTTTTATTTATTTTTTGTATCTCCTGTGTCAAGTTATTTTTGGAGGTACGTTATTTTTGTTCATTAAGAGATCTCAGCGCGCAATCATGATTCTGTAAACTGGAAGCTTCTTTCTTTTTTTTGTGTTTCCTCTCTATTTTTCTAAATTCATTCTCGGTTATAAATTATTCTGTGAGTGTGGACTATCTGCAAACATTTGCAGGCATTATGTAGTTATATTCAGTATATATAATTGCAATGATGATCGCTTTCTTCTATCTTTCAGAATATGACGCTACGTCGTCAAAAAGTCAATCAGTGGGTAGTAGAGCCCGAAATAGTTAGCTCACAAGGTCTATGTATTGTCCAACACTCTTCGTTAACTTACCGAAGCAGAAAAGTATACTATTAACAAGTTACTGTACTCCTGTCGTAGGCGTGAGGAAGGGATCCACCCTAGACCCGTTTTTGATATTCCTCTAAAAGCAGGGAAGTCGACATGAAGGAAACATCACACCCTGAACACATATCTTGGTCATCCTCCTCACGCCACGAGAGTAGCACAGTTTGCACCGACGGTATCGGTCGTGAGGCGTCGAAATCTGGCAATGGATACCCTGAAGAGCCGGAGCAGGGCGCGGAGAGCGGGCGGAGCGGAGCGGGACCGTGACCGCGACCTGACCTCTCTATCCATCCGACCCCAGCTGCATGAGACATCTTCTGAGACAGCCTTTTGAGAAGATCTGCCCTCTGAGCACCTTGTGCAAGGAGAAGGCGTTGACGACTGTCATATCAACAAGGTTGAACAAACCTTCTTGTACCACTTGAGGGACTTCGGTGTCGATACGACCAGCAGTGATCACTGTTTCCCATCAGTTGTAGTCTACGACTACCTTGGGTTTGATCCTTTCAAACCCACTGCGGTTGGCGACCATCTCGCTTTTGTGGACAGTCGACAGCAACGTCACTACACGTCTGTCGCGCCATTGCAGGCACAACATGCCTGTAGGCGTGCTGCGACTGTCCACCTGTCCGCGGGCTTTACCTGCAGTTTGAACTTGCGATGGTACGTACTGTGCCAATCGCGTTCGTGCGCCTGCTCTGCAGGTAATGAAAAAAGGGTAGGCGACGTATACCAGTTATCGGTATAACAGATCATACCTTATCAAATAAGCCCGCTGCGCCCATCAAGTGAATGACAGCCCTCTGGGATGCGGGTATGTCGCTTCTGTCCCTGCCCGTGTAAATTCGAAGCGCATATGTAAACCGTTGCTCGGGCCTTCACGGCCGCGAGCTTGTAGACCTTCACCCAAAGCGCGAGCGCTTGCTGGGGTTATAGGTCACGGCTACAAAGCGCCCCCGAAATTTCCAGAGACTCTCGTCGACTGTAATCCTCCTGGGAGGAGTAAAGACCGACGAGAACTGACGTGAGAATTTTCGATAGCTGGCCAACTTCCACAGGCGGTCATCGGGGGGATGACTCCCCTCGTTGTCCACCATGTGGAATTAGCGGCTCAACTGATCGAAACAATCCCGCGTCATAGTCACTGGGAACAGGGGACTGTGGTAGAACAGGTCGGTCGACCAGTAATCCTCTGCTCGGTTTTGGTTTATCCCCATGGCCACCTGAGGCCGATGAAGAACACCAAGCTCCGAGACAGAGGTGTCTACCCAGTCCTTCATATGAGAAGAACTGGGCCCCGGCTTTTGACGGTGGTACCTGGAAAGATAGAAAATGCAAAAATTAGTCATTGTACACAATGTAATCATTATATATTCACTATAATATATATATATATATATTCAATTTGACAAAAATATGTAAATGAACACAAAAAATTACGTGAACTTCACCGGTTTGTTCCCTCGCGGACGATCAATATCCATGAGTTTCTTCGTTCGAAGAACAAGGAAAAGTTCAGCGGGCTGGAGTTAGAGTCCACCCCGGGGTGTTGACCAGGCTGGGCCTGAAACCATACCCTTGTGGGTACATTCTCCTTCTTCCTCCTCAGGACAGGCTGTCCTGGGATCGCACGCACCGCCGACGTAATTGTAGAGACGCGTGCTCATCAGCCACCTACCTAGACTCGTGTCGTGAGACACGTAATCTAGATCGGGAATCATCGCCGCTGTTCGCTACCGGAGGGTCGCTGTCGCTGCTGTCCTGCTTGATGAGACCGACCCCTTGATGAGGACCCGACCTCTCTCCGGATTCACGATCCGACGAGTCGTCGTAAAAGCTCAGGGCCAAGCCGAGGTGGAAGGCTGAGGGTCATCGGGAGAGGCAGCAGCGGCAGCGGACGAAGTGCGCGTGTTCCGAGGCATCTTCAGGGTATTCAAGGCAGACGTAGACTGAATAGGCCTGCCTACACACCTCTATATATTTACCTTCGTCAACCAATCAGATTGCGCCATTTCCCTGGTTCTCGAACAATCCACCGGGTTCGATAACAATCCACCGGCAAGCAAACTACCTCGCGCCCCGTTCCCTCGTTCAACTACCATTAGCCTCGTTTGCGGTGATTTTCTCTTTTCTTTTCTCTTTTTCTTCATTTTCTATTTGCTATCCATTGCTTTGATATTAGTCTCATTGCTGTTTTTTTTTTTTTTTTTTTTTTTTTTTTTTTTTTTTTACACACACACACACACACACACACACACACACACACACACACAGCGAACGCTCGCACACACACGCGCACGCATATACGCAAGCGAATAGTACTGCTTCATACACATGCTGAATCACACACACGCGAGCGCGCGAGCACACACACATATATACGCACGCGAATACTATTGCTGCATACACACACGCGCGTGAGCACGCACACACATAAACACACACGCGTGAGCGCGCACACGCACACAACGCACGCGAATACTATTGCTGCATACACACGCTGAATTACACACACGCGCGCGAGCACGCACACGCACAAACACACGTGCGAGCGCGCACATGCACACATATATACGCACGCGAATACTATTGCTGCATACACGCACGCTGAATCACACACACACACGTGAGCGCGCGAGAGCGCATACGCACGCGAATACTATTGCTGCATACACACACGCTGGGTCACACACTAACACGCGCGAGCGCGCACACGCATACATATATGCGCACACAAATACTATTGCTGCATACACACACGCTGAATCATATACAGATGCGCGCGCGCACGCCCACGCACACATATATACGCACGCGAATAGTAATGCATACACGCGCTCGCGGGCGCCGAATCACGCCGCGACCGACCTGTTTCGCGAGTCGCGGGCCGATTGTCAACGTAATTTTTCAGACGCTTGCCTCTGAAGCCAGAGTACGTCTTATGTAAGAAAATGATCATATTTATAAAAAAAAACTAATCCATCAATGTTTCAGTATCATAAAAAGAATATTTTACCGTATTTGCAAAAAAAAGATCATGGCATGGCCATACATGCCACCGGAAAATGGGAGTGGCGAATTATGGCATGTATGTACATGCCACCCGGCATATGGCCTCGGCATGCCATGGCATGTACGTACATGCCACCCGGCGGGAATGGGTTAATTACTAGTCCTGTCTCACCCATTTACTCTTCTCCTTGAAAGATTGTTTTATTTTTTCTTGCTAAATGTACTGTAATAACATTATGATTATCATATTTTCAGTGATTAGTAACAGCATCAATATCAATAGCCATAGATTTTTAGAATTTAACCCACTTGCGGGTGTCTGCCGGAGCAGTTTCCTGGTCTCACCCGCATGCTGATTTTGAAGCCGCCTGGAAAATATTATTTTCGGTTTGAAAATATACCGTCGCTAGTGGGTTAAAGAATGTAGAAATCAGTTGAGCACTCATGGAGCCATCTGTATGGAACAAAATTTGCACACCAAAAATAAAAAAGTATATATATGTATATATATACCTAGGACTGTATATGCAGGTTGATATTAACCTAATGATTGTTAGCAATAATAGTAATAGATGTAAGAACTTTTCTTATCAAAAATTCAGATTAGGCAAGATCAGGTTGGCCTAGTAAACTTCTCGGATAAACAGAATATTAAAATTAAAACCACAGTGGACAGAACATTTATACATGCACTCCATGCATCAACAGGTTAAAACTTCACTTTCCAGAGATTTAGTTAAACTTTGATTTGCAGCTCTATATTTTGCTTTTTGATTCAGGGTTCAGAGAGTAGAGAACATTGTCTGCTATTTGATCAGTTTATGTGTGATTTTTATATCCAATCTTAAATTTTCCCTCTCTAAAAATTTATACACAGTCCCCTACAATTACTTACATGATGCAAACATAGGCAAAAAGTAATGGGTTAAATGGTATTGACTTCATGAATGGACAGTAGTCAAAGATGATTTTGAGAGTAAAGGTCAAATGTATTGAATGAACAATAACAAAGATTTCGTTCCCCTCCCCCAGCACTGTGCTGCTCCGTCACGAGAACATCCTTGGCTTCTATGGATCGGACATGACATCTCGTGGGGCATGTACTCAACTCTGGCTGGTCACTCATTATCATCCTCGTGGCTCTCTGCACGACTACCTGAATATTCATACCTTGGACCACACATCACTGATTAACATTGCCCTCTCAGCCATCAATGGACTCCTTCATTTGCATACGGAAATATTTGGTACACAAGGAAAACCAGCCATTGCCCATAGAGATATCAAAACAAAGAACATTTTGGTAAAGGTGAGTTTACCAGGACTAGAAAATGTGTTTGTAAGTTAGTTTTTATGTAGCAGTTCATTATGTGTATTATTTATTAATTTATTTATTTATTTTATGTGCACCTTATAACTGACACTTCATTGAAAGACCCAAGTATTAAAGCAACCCTTTCATTTACAGCTGAATGGGACATGTGTGATTGCCGACTTTGGACTTGCTGTAATGCACACTCAAACTACAGGGGAGATCAACATAGGCAATAATCCCAGAGTAGGGACAAAGCGCTACATGAGCCCTGAAGTTTTGAATGAATCGTGAGTTTTCTTTCCTTTTTGTTAAAATATGATGCCTGTAAATGTATCAGAGCAAAGATAAACATATATTCAGTTATCAATACATGAAGAAATATGAACTCTATTTTGTATGAGGGATTACGACATATATATTGATATGAATGTCCTTTTTTAAAACTTTTGAATTGATTTTGAGTAATTGCATCCCATCGCTTTCTTTACATTTAGGATTAACATGACTGTGTTCGAGTCCTTCCGTAAAGTGGACATCTATGCTCTTGGCTTGGTTCTGTGGGAAGTTTGCCGAAGATGCATATCCAATGGAATCATAGATGAGTACAAGCCTCCTTTCTATGATGTCGTTCCCAATGACCCAAGCTTTGATGACATGAAGAAGGTGGTGTGTGTGGATCAATATCGACCCGTCATCCCCAATAGGTGGACAAGTGATCCAGTAAGTGAATGGAGATGACTATGTTGGTGTGGAATGTTCCTTGTCCAGTTTTATGGAAAGGGTTTATACATACACTTCTGATTTTTGCAATTTGCAAGAGCCTCAAGATTTTGTTTTGTTTTCTAGTGTTCTTTTGGTTTTCTTCCTAAGAGTTGATCACTAATAGATGATGATAATTAGAATATGTATATATATTTATCAATATATTTTTTTCAGGTATTGACAGGAATGTCTAAGATCATCCGTGAATGTTGGCATCAGAACCCTAGTGTTCGACTGACAGCCCTCAGAGTCAAGAAATCGTTGGTTAAGTTGGCACAAGAAGAGACGAAAATCAAACTGGAATTTGACTGTTGACACAAGAACATTTGTCATTCAAAGTTCAAATTGTATATGAGTGAATGGGTAAATGTGAACTCATTGTGTTGCTGGTTCCAGCACAGTGCAGCTGGCTTTGTTAGGTGAAAATATGTATTGCTAAAGAGTATCAAAATGGACTGTTGTTACTACATGTTATTTAATACTCAAGTATAGTTAAGCAAATTAGGTATTGCTGCAGTGCTAAATGTAAGATTATGTAAAACAGAAAATAATGGGCAAAATTTAATTTTAGCCACATCATTTAGAATGGTGAATGTATTTTGTAAACATCCCTAATACTTAGGATTTTTTTTTTTCATCTTTGCAGGTTTCAATCCATATAGCAGGTGAAAGTACAATATAGTTCAGCAGCTGACTGTAAACCACAATGAATTTACAAATTTATTGTATATTCAGGACTATGCCTTTCAAAAATTAACAATTCTTTATCATTTGCAATAAGGGTAATAATGATAAATATGATAATAATGATAAAAATATTTGATCTGTAGGGTTAACCAACAAGATTTAGATACAGTATGTATCTCATTTCTATCTTATTTCATTTTCAGAATTTTGTAAACATTTTTACTTATTACTGTTATTAACTTACAAATAACACCACAACTGCTGCTGCTGTTGCTGTTACTACAATAACACCTACTATGTCCTTATTCCCAATCATTTACTTTTGATATTCCCTGTTTTTCTTAGTTTCTTCTTTTTCCTGTTAATTTTCTTTCTTATTATATATATCGTTTTGAGCAATCCATAATTCAAAATGATAATGTTATCAGCATCATTGATTTTTTTTATTATTATTATTAATATTATTATTATAAGGGCACTAAACACGTTTTTAGTTGGATGTTTACTTAAGTATATGCCCGCTGGAGTTGTGTAGTTTAGTTTTTGTAGAAGTTGTGGAATACAAATGAAAACTATATACAGTATTGGCTCTGAGAGCAATGAGATTACTGATCTTGTTCATGAATGTTACTTAAGAGTAGCATAGATGAGTGTCGAAGACAGTATAGAACTATATTGGCTGAGTGTGGTGATATAGTGAGATATTCTCTCTCTCTCTCTCTCTCTCTCTCTCTCTCTCTCTCTCTCTCTCTCTCTCTCTCTCTCTCTCTCTCTCTCTCTCTCTCTCTCTCTCTCTCTCTCTCTCTCTCTCTCTCTCTCTCTATCTCTCATATTTTTGGTGGTGTTCATTGCCAATTATGTATCTGAAAAAGGAGGAGATATTGTGGTCAGCTTTTTACTTTTTTCAGGATTGAGAGAAGGACCCATAAAGTGATGTAATACTTAGTACAATTATACGAATAATTTGTTGATTAGGATACAGTGTGCCTATAGAATAAACATCAGGTCATAGAATTAGTAGATACTTCTTTTTTTATGGTATTTCTTCCCTTTATTCTTCTTCCATTTCTTTTTTATTATATTTTTTACTCTTTTATGTTTGTTCTTGTTTTCTCCACCATCTTTTTTTTTAAGCTGTGAGGACACCTACGTCATGATTTATAGTTTCTTTGAAAGAAGCATACTTTGCCTTTTGTCAGTTTTTTTGTTTGTTTTTTTTCCTCTCCATCAGTCTTTCTTTGTTTCTTTCTATGACAGCCTATGATTGAGGATGCTTTTAAACTGTTCTGCCTGCCTGGTACTTTTTTTTCTTACCTTTTGTTAGGAATAAAGGTCCATGAGCATCTGTCCTCTTTTCTGTATGCTTTTTTCACCAGTTCTCTTTATTATCAATGGTGTCATTATCATCACCATCCCCATGATCACATCATGATCACTCTTGCATCATCATCATCAACACCATCATCATCATCATCACCATCATAATCATTATTTTTATCATATTATTATCATTCTCCTCATAATCATCATCATTATTATTGTGCTTCTCAGTTTTTCTCTCTTCACCATTTTACTCTTAATTTTTTAATTCCTTTTTTTTTTTTTTTTTTTTTTTTTTTTTTTTTTTTTTTTTTTTTTTTTTTTTTTTTTTTTTCATCAATCCAGCATGGAGAAATATAGAATTTGCCATATGCTCTTCAGACAACAGGGTGTTACTGCCAATAGCTACACTACCTGTTTTCATTGAACACAAGCGAGACTGGATGCTCCTGTCCATGAAGCATTGCACAATATATTCTCAGTGAACTACCAGAGACACTTAACTTGGCAGTTGATGTCCACAGGGTCTAATGCGACTCATCGACGTGAAAGTCCTTGTACAGCTTGTGCTTCCCCAGTGCCTGCAACACGCCGCCCATTACCATATAATCTTGACAGATGTGTAGAGTGTATGAAGTCTGTTTGTTTTGATAGATGTACTTGAAACTTTTTTGAATTGCTTCATAGCCAAATAGTAGTTACCAAAGCATAAGTAGTGAAAATATTTTGTAAAACATAGGTAGTATGTTAGCAAGATTTCATGATTGTTTTGCCAATGTAATGTTGACGAAGTATGAAATTTATATGTCCATTACTTGTTTAGTTAAAGCGTTTATTGCATAAACAAAAATTGATGTCAAAAGCTGGTCAGACATTTTTTGAAGCACAAAACAATTTGTTACATCTTGTATGGCCCAAGGTTTTGTTATAAAAAAAACTGGCATAAACATTCAAAATAGCATTACATCCAGGGAAGAAGACAATTCCGTTTTATTTTTTCTGGGGGCTCCAAAGGGTTAGTATGGAGATATTTATGTGAAATTTAATTCCAGTGTATGCTTACCATTTTATACTTTGCAATCAGATGTGTCACCATAAGGATGGTATGATGGTGACTTGACTCCTTTGTTACTTGGTAAAACATTCATGTTGTATTTTAGACCAAGTTAAAGAATAACTTGATAAAAACACTTTTATTGTAATCAAGATGACATTGCAAGCTCTTGGAGATGGCATTTTTTCAAGAATTTTATTGCATGATGTCATTAATCAATTCATATACAGTAGATAACAAATGTGTGATGCTAACAAACTAAACTAATGGTAAGAATAGCATTTTTCTCATTTATTTGTTAATAATAGAGATAATGTTTTGAAAGGTCTTTCTTGAATTATCAGTGAAAGTAATAGACTTAGAAATGGAATGTGAACTTTGGTTTTAGTTTGTAAAGTGTTTGTGGTTTGCTGGTAATTTAGAAATTTAGATAACTTGATTAACTTGATGAATTAAACAGTACACACAAAACGTTCGAGTTAAGTAGCAACAGGCTTCAGAGTTTTAGTAATATGATGATCATAGTTAATATTGCAATGTTACTCACTCACAATGTTAAAATTCAGGAAGTACAGCCAAGCCTTCTAACAAGGTACCATTTCAATTTAGCCATCTGAGTATTTCTCATCCTCCTTTTCCTGCGTGATATATTATATTCTCCATACTCACTGCTCTCTCTTTCCTCTCTTATCTCTCGAGAACCATAAGCCTGCCTCACTTTTACTCTCTCTTTCGTCCCTCTCAAGCAAGCATCAGCTTCAAACTGAAGCGCGAATGTTCTCTGCACTCTTTCCTAAATTTGCCTTTACTTTACTTTTTATCTTAATTCTTTTCTTCATAAACCTGGGTCCTAAACTCAAATCCTACCAATTAATTTCTCCTCTTATCTAACTATATCTATCATTATAACCCTATATATATTATTAAAATTATCCCTCTTTTCCTCTCTCTCTTCGCCTCCCCCCCCCCCTCTCTCTCTCTTTCCTCCTCTCCCTCGCTCTTTTCCTCTCTTCTTTGCCTCCTGCTGACGTAAGTGTGCATGCTGTGTGTTGTGCATATATGCTGTAATGTTGGTCGGGAGTGTCTAGAAATATATTGAAACATTTACCTTATGTGAAATATTGCATTCACTCAACTATTCATCCTGACAGGCAAGCTGAATATTATATGTTTTGTTTTTTACATCCCTCCAAACAAGTAAGTTATGTTTAGTGAAGATGGTATGCTCATTTCAGAATCGTGAGGTTGCAAAAAAACAACATATACATCAACAAATACGAGAGATCATTATGTCGTCAGCGGATCTAAACATCATGCAAGACCTCAATGCTCTCCTGAACTGTGCTGTCCTATGAACAATTCCTCTTACTCTCTTAATTATTTACAAACTTGAAGCAGAGATAAACATGCTTTTCAACTGACTTATGTTTGAAATTGAAGATCCATCACTGTGATTTCAATACAATAATATAAAATGCATTTACTTCAGGTTTTTATGCCAGTTTTTATACACCAACCATAAACCATGTCAGCCCTCACATTAAGTATAACGTAACTATTATACCATAATTAAAATTAATAATAATTAACAAGAGATAGTAATGTACCTTGGAAACAAAAGATTTAATAAGATATAAGCATTATCAAAACAAGCATAACTAAACTAATCTGAAATCACCTATATATAACTATTATATGTTGAGTTTAAAGAATAAATATAATTACTAAAACTGTACTTTTAAAGTATGATTTTAATATAATAATAAAGATATTATATATGATTAATAGACTGAAGAATTATAATAAGTGCATAATACAGTGACATACTGGTCCAAAGTACTTTTATGATAATTATATAATATATATAATAGAGTCCAGCAAGCATCCGATCCGGTAATAGTATTAAGTTTTTTTTTTTTTCTTTTTCTTTTTTTTCTTCAATAGAAAACTCTAAAAACATTAATTCCAGCCCAACTGTCGCCAACCTGCTGAACCTGTTAATGCCCTGATAGCTGACCCTAATTTAGTTTACAGGCAATTGCCTATCGACGACTTTTTGTCCAATAAATTGCAATTTATGTATAAACGAAAGGAAAAGCGCATCTTCTAAAACCTCACACACATCACACCAGTCAACACCTACAGTTGTCACTGCACCGCATATCTCCTTATCACCTCCGAAAGAGGTGGAGGCTTCATTTAATGAGATCTTGGCGCTTAGTGCGAGTTTATTTAAAGTTTCTTATTCTTGTTTCTTTTTATTTATTATTGTTAAGTTGGTGTGTTTTTTATGAGAATTATATTTAATTAATTGTCCATGTAATACCAATTAGGATAGACCCATAACATAATAATATATAATATAAATGCATAAATAGATAACACCAAATTTGAGCAATGATTCTTGTTGGCTTTGAAAACCTAAAGTAGTAATAAATAAATATAATTAAAGATTAAACCAAAATTTAAACGCAATATTATTCAACTTCTTATCTATAATAGCAAAAAAGAAATTAACAAGGAAGTATCATAACAATCGATACAGATGAAAAACATAAAATAAACTGTAAACATATTCTCTGTCGCAGAAATCCCTTCAAAAATCACACCTTCTCCATCACATCTTGGATACATTGGTAAAGCTTCGAACATTCATAATGAATGCAGTACTTGATATCTTTCTTCTCACCTTAGAATCATCCCATTCACTTCCATTGACTGTTACGAAAAATGTACGACAAGGTCTTCTGAGTCTAACCTCCATTTTGTAAAGGAATTTCATATTGTTAATTGTTAGAATAAATTTAATTTACTTTATGTGATCTATCTTACACCATTCGCGCGCTAGTTGGAAACCTTTTACATCATCTGGCCATAATACACACCAAATCAAGAGCGCACAAAGGAAATATGTTGCCAGATAATAAATAAAAAAATCTAAAAGTCAATGAAAACATAATTGTGGTGTCATGAAAATTCGACATATTTGTCCCATGCCTAATAATTAAACAAGACAAATCTATGTTTTAGTGATGTATATAATAATACGTACATACAAAGTGAGTAAGTGCAGATTAATATAATTTATTGTCATTTATATATATTATGATGTATCTCGTTCGTCATCTTTTTCGTTTATACAAGTCACCTGATATTTATTATGTATGATGAGCCAAACTGAGTAGAGTTTGTTATTGTTTATTCTAGTGATGATACAATGTCTGTGGAATTTAGTCAATAATAGACGTGCTCACATAATTCCTGTGTTCTGGTTGCGTGTGTAGTGAATATGCCTAAAAGCAATAGTTAGTTAATACACACGGTACTAGTTGTGGTTTACTCTCTTTGTTGACATTGGTTATAACCCAATGACAGATTAAAAGAGCCAGCCACAGAACCAGACTTCCTAAAAACACTCCCAGATTTGTTGTCTTTTATGCTTATATAATGGTGAATTAGTTAAAAAAATAATTAAAAAATACATTGATATTTGAACTTCTTACTCATTGCCTGACTCATAAGTGTGACGAGAAAACTTTTCAATCGTGTGCCAGTCACAAACCTGTTGATAGCTTATCTAAGATGTATTTCAGTGTTGTGATTACTATTATGTTGTTAGAAGCCTGAAGTTCTCAGTTGATAATTATGTATTTAAATAAATCTCGAGTTTGGTCGCCAGAGTAAAGCAGAGCACAAAAACTTTTTGTGACTTACATATTCATATGAATATCAGCATGAAATACATAGTCTATGTAAACGAGATGCGGTTAGTTTTGTACAGTCCCTTCTGTCATGGATGCTGAAAAGCAGATTCATATGCTAGCATGTGATATCTCCCGCTTAAGAGATGTCTATTGAGTGCACAAACTACATTATAAGTATGTATATAGGACATCTTAAAGATTTTCTGTCAAAAGCG